AGATTGTTTGAATGTGTAATCATTCTTACATTTGTAGCATATATTAATAAATTTTATCATACTTACTATGAAAGAGAATGGTGATTTAGTTTATTTTTATATTAATTTTTTTAATCTATTTCATTCTATTTATTTTTAGTAATCAAACGGGACATTACCTTTATGAGAGATTCAAAATTTTAAAATATAAGTTACTTTGATAAAATTAAGGTTTTGTTAATTATACTTTTCCAATATTTTTCTTCCCATTACATTTTCTTTCTTTAATATTTTTTATAAATAGAATATTAAATAACGTATATTTTTAAAAATTTATATTTTTATAACTTAAAAAGTTGTAAAATGTATTTGATGATTTTTATTTATATGTATAATAATTTTAATTAAAATTTTTATAATTTAAGAATGGGGGAGAAATAGTCATGTTTTTCGGGAAGAAAACTATACTATTATCTGTCTACTCGTCATGATGACTACATAGGAGAAGAGATTTAAATCTTTTGGGTAATGATCCAATGCAGGGAGAGATGTGTTATTATTATTTGAGCCAATGCAGGGAGAGATGTGTTATTATTATTTGAGTTTTCCCATATAAAAGAAAACGCGTATGTGGTGGAAGGGATTGGATTCACGTGGGATCTAATCCAAAGAGGGGATACGACCGAAAGACTTTTGTGAGGTGAGAAAATATGTCCGGACGAGAAAAGGCAAACATGTAAGTATGAGGGTGCAGCTTAATTCTGCTCATTGGTCTTTTCCATTTGAGTGACTTGTTTGTCTCCACTCTTTAAAGTCGCCAACTATCAACCCCTTCTCTCGCTGCAACTTTTGACTTTTCACTTCTCTCTCAGTCATCTTTCAATCTCCATATTTATTCACCCACTCCTCCTCATCATCTCTAGTCTAATTATCTCTATCTTCCTCAGTAACGCCTCAAGGCTGTTCGGCGTTTGGTTGGAGAGTAATAGAGAGCAGCGGATGAGAGATTCTAAATCAATTATATATATATATATATAGTTAAAACATGAAGATACCAAACAATTTTTTTTTCAAAAACACCCAATAATTTTAAGTGAATAGAAGTATAAGAATATGTATAAAATTGTTATATTAAGTGTAATAATCTCCATTCTATTAAATTTAACTAATATTCATCAATGTTAAATGATTAAAAAAAGAAAACAAACATAAGGTGTAAAAATATATTCAAAATTTTTTAGAAGCTTCTTCTACTCTTAAATCGATAATGATATATAAATACCTATTAACTTTATAAAAAAGGTCATATAATCAAACTAAATCCTAACAACTCAGGCTTTTGTACTTATATGGGTTGCCTGAATGTCAAAATTGTTAAATATTATTTTATTTTATATTTTCTTTTTTAGTCAATTTCAATTTTAATCTTAAAATTAAAATTATGATTTTTAATTTTTATCTAATTTTAATTTTATTTTATTAATAAAAAGAATTCAAGTATTTAAGCTAAGTCCATTTAAGGTTAGACTTAACTTAAGATTTCTTTGAGCTTATTCAAGCTGCTTGAATTAGACTAAAGTAAATGAAATTTTCTAAACTTTTAAATCCAATCCTAAAATTTTTTGAGCCTATTTTAATTAGTTTATTAGGCTTGACATAAATTATCAATTCTAATATTGTAAAGTTCTAATAATGGAACTTAATAAATTAGGAATGATAAGCCTATTTTACAAAATTAATAAATACTCATGCACAATTGTTAATTTTAAAATATCACAAACTCATGAAGAAAAAGTTCATGAGCATTTGTACACTTTATGTTTGCTTCTTTTTGTTTTTTTTAATAATGTTAGCCAAATTTAATATAATAGAGATTGTTGTACTCATTGTAACAAATTTATATATATTCTTGTACCTTTGTTCAATTTAAGATACTGGGTATTCCTGAAAATTTTTTTTGAATATTTTTACTTTTTAACCCAAAAATATATATAGAAATGAGCCTAAAAGATTTTTCTTATATTAAAATTTTATAATCACACTAATTAATTTTTTAAACATTTTCCAAACTCTCCCCCTCCAACCAAATAGCAGTTAATAATTTACATCTCTTGTTATTCCTTTTCCCTTCAGAAAACATGATTACCACTAATAATATATATAAAGGGATACCCATAAACTCATCATTAATGAATGTTATCACTAATATTATTTTCTTAAATATATTTGACTAACGCCTGTTAAAATTAAGTGTTAAAAAAAAAAAAAGAACCAAACATAAAGTGATACCCATCAACTTTTTCTATAGAAACTCTTAGTATTTTAAAGTTAACAATTATGCATGTATACTAATTCATTTTATATTATAGATCAACATTTTTTTATTCAAATTCTTTTTTTAAAACTTTATGATTAACGTTGAGTTATTTTAAGAAATTGCAAAAGGTTAAAGTTAATAATTTGGATTAAGGTCGATAGAGTTAGCCTAAATAAATTTGAGTCAAGCTTAAACTAGAATGGGCTTAATTTGAAAACTCAATTTTTTATATTAATATAACTAAATTAAAATTAGATAAAAATTAAATTGACTAAAAAGAAAAAAATAAAAAAATAATATTTAACAATTCATGAAATTTGGACTAGTACGAATAGGCTTAAATTGTTAGAACTAAACTTAACTATATAATTTAATGGATACCTTTCTACTTATTGTAACTTAAAGATATTAAAAATTAAAAAAAATTATAAATATTGCTATATCTTTATTCATTTAAGAATATTGAATAGTCTTAAAAAAAAAAGTTGCTGATTATTATATTTTTGCCATTCAACTCTTGTCATTTTCCCGTTAACTAAAATTTTGATGTAGCATCTCACTCTCATATTTTCTTTGTAAAGTCTCCAAAGTCTTGACAACTCTGGCCGCCTTATTCATTTGTTGTTGCCCCCACAGCTATTTTTGACTATTTGTAAAGTTGGTCTCCCTACCACCACATAGCCGTCATCATTTCAGATTCACAATCGCCGAGCGGCGATCAGCCACCATTGCTTTTTTTTTTTTTTTTTGGTTTCTTTGAATAAACATGCCATCACAAAAAGTCATGCACAGATCAAAGATCTAAGCTAAGATCCAGCATGTCTTTTCTTTTCTGATTGGATACAATACTTTGACACGATAAATCCCAAAAAAGCTTCATTTGTGAGAAGCAAAGTATTGTTGTTTCCTAGTGAACATATTTGGGAGCCTCTAAATGGACAAACATGCAAACATACACCAAATTCAGCATCCAAATCATGATGGGTATGCTACGCTAAATCAATTCACGCAGGCAATGACGGTCAGGACACAGTCAGGGAATGTGAGATAATTTAATAAAAATAATAATAATTACACTATATGATGACTAAATTAAATTTATAATAACATAATTAATATATTGGTTATCATTTTTGTTTCGAAACTTGTTTTGAATAGGCTAATATGATCTTTTATATAAACATACTCTTCATATTTTATGTAAATCATTAAATTATTTTATATCTAATAATTTTTTAAATTTAAATATTTTTATTTAGTCTGAAAGGTATAAAATATTAAGAGTAAGGGGTATAAAATTACAAAATTTATTTATATTATTTATAATATTTCTTAAAGTGAGGTAGTACATTTGTCTTTACTACAATGTGCTCCGCCATTGCACGGCATGTGTGTATTTTCGTTTCTTTTCATTCAATGAGTGTTATTATTATTATTATTTTTGGACAATTACTTATAATATCCACACCTACCCACCCATATTTACACTCTTACCCTGTGGTTAAGATTACACACTTATCACATTTTTTCACACCTAAGGATCAAGCCCACAACTTCCTCATGAGAAGAGGGCGCCAATGCCACTAAACTACAAGGAACTTCTTTTGAAACACATGATCATAGATAAGTAACTGATCATCTTTCTTTTAATTATCAAGTAAGATGATGATATTAATTTGAGACTCACCTTAATCCTTTCTTTGAAATTAAAATTTAAATAAAGGACTCCGCCATGATAGTGTGATCATGAAAACGAACTCGATATACCATAAGTACATAACATATATAACAAAAAATTAAATGTTATATGTTTTGTTTAACTAATATGAGTGAATTAAACATGTGTTAAAATGATTTATTATTAGTTTTATAAATGGCTTTTAATTTTCAAAACATATTTTAAATATCAAAGGATCTAAGAAAATGAGTGAAAATATAAAAATGCCCATGACATTCAAAAGCAAAAGTAATTAATAATCACGCACTGAGTGTTGGGTGAATTAATTACCAATAAAACTGTCAAGACTTGTAATTTATTAATTCTGTTATTACTTATACTACTCCGAATAGTATAATTGTATTTTTGAATACTTCTCAGTTCTCATCTTATAAAGTACTTATGACAGTTTTAAGAATCTACACATTTGTAAAAAATAAAAGTAAAAATAAAGTGTACTGTTCATAAGTAAGCCATGAAACGTGCTACTCATTTTTTATATATTCTATCACCAAACGGACTCACACTAATTAAGTACAGCTTTATTTTCCTTTCATAATTATACATTATGCTTCCCGTTCATTGATGAGTTGACTATCATAGGTTTTGATTTCTTATGCTGGCTTGAAAATTTAGAAGCATACTATTGTGAAGCAGAGACAAAGGCAAACGAACAAAAAGATTTTAACCACTCCTTGAATGGTGACAAAAAATCAGAAGTGGCATAGTACTTCAATTATTTCAAAAGCCATCTAAGGGTAGTCATTTCAACCAGCAAAAGATAATGAAAAAGAAACTGTGACTTTTGTCATTCACATGAAAACTCATCTCCCACAAACTTCAAAACCCATATCTTTCCCTTGAATTTTGATGACACACACACACACACACACACAACCCCCGCATCCGCATGTATCAACTCATTGACAATTCCCATACATACATACATATATATATATCTCATCAGTCTCTTCGATGGGCCAAGCTTTCAATTCATGTTTCTTCTTCTATTGTAGGTTCATGGGTTCGCCAAAAGCATATTCCATCGAGCTACTAAGAACTTCAGTCACGCTCATTCTCGTCATTTCTCTCAGTCTCGCATTCTTTCCATGTAATTCAGGTAAAAGCATATTGTTCTCAGAATTAATAATATCTAATTAAACTAGATAGCTAGTAGTTCTATCAGTATTATATATAGTGCACTGATGAATTAGATTTGGGTTCAAATAGTACAAATTAAAGTAGATGGAAATTAAATGATTCCAACCATGCATGAAAATCAGTTAAAAATCAGTAAAAACCAATCAAAATTGATAAACATCAGTTAGCCTTTTTCTTCTTTATATAAATTGTTTACATATAAAATTAAAAATATATTTATTGAATCATTATGTCTCATTTGAAACTGAAAACAGTCAAACTATAATGAAGCTTATATAAACCAGTGCTTCTTTCCCTGGTTCAGTTTGTAAAACAGTGGGTAAAACCGTAAAACTATACAAACTGTTAGTGTGCCCAGATATTTGTCTGTAGCATTATTAATTATTAGCAAAATGGGAAGTCTTAGATTAACCTTGTAGCGTCTCTCTTTTATACGTATACTTGTGAAAATTAATGATGGTCATCATCATCATCAGTTGCATTAAAAGATCAGAGGAAGCAGAAGAAGATGGTAATGGGTTCAAAGCCTCCAAGTTGCTTCAACAAATGCTTTACCTGCAAGCCTTGTAAGGCCGCTTTGGTTATCATTTATCCACACAGAAGAAATGATGTTCATAGCAATAAGGATTCAGGTGGTCAGGGAGGTGATGAAGGATACTATCTTCTCTCTTGGAAATGCAAATGTGGTAATAAGTTCTTCCAACCATGAAACCCAATAATTAATCAAATAATACTCACTGATAGGTTTGGTTTTTTAATTAATTTATGTATATGTAGTGCCCATATATTATATATTGTAATCATTATGCGTGAGAAATTAGTTTAAGTGATGATGTGTTACGTAGTAGGTATCGAAGTAACTTGTAGTAAACATGAGTAAGATCGCTAAGTTTATCTGATGTCAATCCATCCCAGTTTACTTTCATGTTCTCTTCTTTTGGGGTCTCCATTTTCATGGGCCGTTTTCTCTGTTTTATTTGTTTATTACCAAATTTATTCTTAAGAGAATCTGCGGAGCCCTTGACCTGTATAGAGAGTTTAAATTCAATATTGGGATTGCTCGGAAACGTTCATGGAGGTAATCGATGTGTAACAACAAGGTGAGATATATTTTCCAGAGTCACGAGCTGTGCTTAGCAACGAAAAAATATGAGTTGAAACCGCATCTTAATTAAATTCTTTGAGTTGAATATTAATCTCAAGTGATTATTGATTGAAAAAAAGATTTGAGAACACTGACGTAAATATACTTTTCTAATATTATTTATAGGGTATAAAGAATATTTGTTTTGATATTATTTATAAAGCATTTCAATGATTATTGTGTTCATCTGTATCATTTGTTCTTAGTAAATATTGAGAAGATTATTAAATATTAAAATATTTTATTTTTAAAGTAAACATATATTTAATAACGGTAACATTGTAAACTTATTAAATTTTTAAACCAAATTAATAAAGTTTGTTTGGTTCCTATATTTTAAAAAATAAAATTATAAATATTAAAAATATTTTAAACTTTTAATATTTGTAATATTTATAAAGATTAAAAGGGTTAATAATATAAGAATATTAGGAATAAATTTTAAAATATTTTTAATTTTTATTATTTTATTTTTTAAAATATAATAACTAATATTTAAAAGATTAAAATTTCGGGGATTAAATTGTAAAAAGTAAAGTTTAAAAATTAATTTATAACTGAGTCAATACTTCAAGGATTGAGTTATAATAAGTTAAAATTAAATAATTGAATTATAATTGAGTCAACTATAAAAGCCACAAGATTAATTTTCCCTAAATAAAATCAAAGGAGGAAGCAGTGGTTCTTTTTCTCCTGGCCCTCTCTTCCCACTTCAATTAAAACGGATGGCTTCAATTATATATTATGAAATATATTAATCTTGCATTGTATCACATGCTCTTCTTCAAAATGACGAATTTGAATCCTCTGAGGCGTTTCATCATAATAAAGTAGGGGAAACCAAATATAGAACAGTGGATATCTCATGAGCTTGCAGACACGTGGACTCTACAAAAGTAGGAATCACTATCAATAAGTGCTCAGTGGAAAGCGCTATGACTGGCATTTTTTAAAGTAAGAATTTGAACCTTAAAAAGTGACAGACGCAATAATTAAAACAGCTTCAAGAAAGCCACCCCATTGTTATCTGTAACCATTGTAAGGTCTCCAATGCAGGAGTCCAAATTAGTTTGGACCCGACAATGAACCCAAAATGTCTCAAGATACTAGGCAGTTTAGTACTACAAAAAAAAAAGTAGGAATCACTGTTTTACGCTCTCATTTATCTCTACTTCGCATCAAGAAGCTATATATGGACATCCACAATTCTAGCTGGGAGGTGTTTTCCCTCTTGTCCAAATTGAGAATTTTTTGATTGCTGATAAATCTTTATTGGAGAAAATTCTATTTTAAGTATGGTCGAATACTAAATGTTAAACACACATCTCAATGGGGATTAAACTTTAATTCATTACACTGAGGCAATAACTCCTTCTGCCAGATCCAACCCCATGTAAATTGAGGATTTGTGAAGGGGAGGATTGTGTGTGAAATTGATCATTCTGGATTCCCCGTTTATTGTGGATCTCTTTTTCACTCAAAGCAAGCAATCTCACTCGTAGCCCTCATCCCAAACGAACTGATGAACCTCTAGAGCTTAATAGAATTGTCTCTCTTCAACTTATCCACGATATTGTTGAAGCAGCCTAGAGACTGATGAATGTACTGATGAAAAAGAACACAGAGGACGATGAGTTTTATCCTTTCTTGAGTTTTTTTGGTCAATTTGTGAAATAAAATAATACTCACATAAATTATGATAATTACCTTGAGGTTTTGATGCACGCAATACCTTTCGTCTACCTCTAGCAAATAAGAAATATGGAAAGAATGAACTATGAACTAGATATGGTCAACTACTAGAGATAAACTAAAAGCCAAAAAAGAAAGGAAAGGAAAACAGCATATAACGCAGCCCCCAAATCGCCAAGTTCATATGATTCAAACAAAGAAAGCAATAGAGTTCGCCGCCATATATGAACGAGAGGCTTCGCTCCAATAAAAATATATATATATATATTGACTTGATAGGTTACATACATCTCAGCATTTTAGTGTGTAAACAAATATCAATGATCTTACATTTGAATCATATGCTATTGATAGTTTAATATATTTGCATTATAAAAATATGGGAGATATTCAAAATGAGACATTGAACATTGAACTTACGATGTCCCAAGTCTTGAAGCCAAACTAGAAAAAAATCAAGTTGATTTATCCTACCCACGCAAGACTAGACAGATCGAGAACCCCAAATTAGATCTTTCCTAAAAATATATGGGCTTCCAATCATATGTGGACTCACTGAACTCTTGAAAACACTCCAGGATATAAAACTGGAAAGCTCCGTGTTATTAGTTTTCAAGAGGATACAACTAGTCAACAGGAGTCGAGGTCTCAACCGCAGATATTCTCTGCAGGCTCACATCAAAAGAGATTATTATTATTACTATTATATTACTATAATTTGAGCTATTCATTCTACATACATCTACTTGCAGGCATATTCCCACACAATGGGCAATCTATAAGCAAACTGCAACCTGACAACGAGGCCAATCCACGCAATCCGGATTTCATATACACAATTTACACTGCATTGTGATGGCTGGAAAACATGCCCCTATCATGCAGCTTTTAGTGCCCTTGTATGTACGATTTAATCAACACCCACAAAGCTGGATTAGCAAGTCATTTGTCTAAGCAAACCAGAATTTGGCACCGACACGGCTGGTTTCCAAATAATGTCTGATAGTTTTTCACAAAGATTCTTGTAAAACTGTAGGAATACAAACAAACGTTACTATCAAACACAAATGACATCATACAATTCATGTGGCTGATCCCACTTAATGAGATGCTTGTTCTTGTTGTTTTTGTTACTATCCGATATACAAGCACGATACATAAAAATAAGTATGGATGTGTGCCAAATGAATTTAGAAATAATAATATATATAAATACATACATGGAATCTTAATGTTGGAGACAATGCTTGCACATCTTTATGCAGTAGCTTACTAATGGGTGAGATAACATAATTTGTACATAATATTGCATGCCAGTTAAAGCACATATATATATAGTCATTTTACAGCTGAAATATGAATCATGCGAGTCACATATATTTAGTCATTTTACAGCTGAAATATGAATCATGCGAGTCAGATCAGGGATAAGATTAGAACGTATGATAAGCAAAACATGGAGTTCCTTTTATTTTGCCCTGCCCCCGCAGATCTTACATTTTATTAAATCTGTTTCACTCTCTTCACTGGCACCTCCAACAGCTTTCTTTGTACCTATTTAAACCATCCTAAACGATTTTCTACTATTTTCTCTTTAATAGATGCTATGCCAAATATTTTATGTCCAATGATCCTGCTGGATTAGCTCAGGCAGAGAAATGGAGGGTTCGACTCAATAGATCTAGACACATTCCTAATTTATTGTTTTGCTGGTGTCAAAACTGAAAAACACTAGGGCAAAATCTCATGTTAGGGAGCGAACCCACAATGATAGGTTTGACTTTTATTAATATCAATAACATGCCCCAAACATGAAAACCATTTATACTCAAGTTCAGAAAACCATAGGACCTTTATATCGGGGGAATATTGCAATTGAATTTCTGACCACATGGTCATGGAGGATTTGATACGATGCTAAAGTCTGATTCATCCGAGAGATTTAAGCTACTAAGCCAAGCTGCACTATAAATAGGCTAAACCATACATAACCCCCCCTAAACTTTGTTACATACAAGTAACCTTTCTAACCTTAGAAACTTGACAATGAACCCCCATAAACTTATATTTATGCAAATGATTCCCCTACAATTAGTTTTGTTCATTACTCATTTGCACATTGCTTAAAGTTTGGGTGGTTAGTTGCAAATAACTCAACTTTTGAGGGGTTGTATGTACATAAAAATAAAGTTTAAGGAGGCAGATAATTAATGGTTGATGGTTACCTGCACAGACTTAAAAGTTTAGGGGAGTTTTGTGTAATTTAATCCTATAACTAATATAGTAGATTGACAACACAGAAAGCTAGCGAGTGCATGATACATTTCCATTTTGGAAAATTTCCATTTCCCTTGACTAATTCTCAACGCAGATCTGGAATAATTTTTGGGCCATTGAAATGCAAATATAAGATGCGAAAGTTAACCTTGTGATATTCAAGAGTATCTCCAGCAGCCTTTCGAACGTCAACCATGAAAAGTGAGGGTGCAACTTCAAAGACCTGCCTCGCAAAATATACAGATGATTTACAATATGACTATTACACAAATCAACCTTCATACAGAAGATGATAATACTGCAAGACCATCAAATGTAGAATCAAGGTACCTCCAAAACAACAGCAAATTGTCCAGCCTTATTTGCAGATGCTCCTTCAAGTCTCATCTGTGAGAAAAATATCATTAGGGAATCTACAGAAAATCATCCAACAAAGATAAAGAATGAGAAGGGATTAGGAAAGATACTATTCGTAAATTACTCGTTTGAGTATTAAGTGTGAACAAGTGTAGCAGGCCTAAGCCCCACCCCATAAGTCTTCTATTGTTCAGTTTGAGTAATCCACTTAACTATATATACCTTACTTGAGATTCCGATGTAACTAAGATGAAGCAACAATCATAGTTATACTCTAGATACTGACAGGGTACTAGATCCTATTGATACAATTGAGGCCTCGAATTATGAGTTAAAGATACATTAAGGAACAAGTAATATTTTATTTGGACTAGGACTAAAAAATATTATTTCAAATTACTTTTCTTTTATTTTTACAACTTTTTAATTGTATTTTTACCATTTATTTATTTTCTGTTTTCTTATATTTTGTGATAATGTATACAGGCAAATGGTATTATATTTCTACAGGTAGTTTTTGAATTTAATTGCTTGCATGTTCTCAAAACCTCTTCCTGAACACTGTCTTTATGATTTCCCTCTTGTTTCCTCCACCTTTTCAATCTATGTCCTACATTGGCTAGATATTCCCTAAAATTTCTTTCCCAATACGTTAAATCTCCATCCATCTATGAGTCAATTACTACTTCCTATTCAGGCACTTCACCAAAAGAACAAAGAGAGAAATTATCCGTATATTTATTTTTCTCTCCATCCATGAGTGATTAGGTAAAAGTAAACATTTGAAGTTACAAAGATGGTAACATAGATTTTTAAGTGGAACTAGAGACGGAAATCACAGCATCAGTCAGATGAGTGTAATGGCTATGTATCAAGAACTTTTAGGATTAGTGAATATTATATAGTAGTGAGTGTTGGGCTTTAAAAGGACAGTAGGAGCATAAAGTTAGAGTAGTAGAGATAAGAAAGTTGAGATGGATGTATGAGTATACACGAAAAAATAAAATATAAAATGAACATATATGAAAAAAAGTGGGCTTGACATTTATCAAGGAGAAAATGGTAAAAAATCATTTGAGATGGTTTGCACATATATAGTGCAGGCTGTGGGAAACATTAGTGAGGAGAGTGAGTGGATAATCTTGAGCTATGTAACAAAAGGTAGAGAAAGATTAAAGAAAACACTTATGAAAGTTGTTGAACAAGACCTCTTAGTTAACAATATTCTCAAAAGCTTGGTTGATGATAGAATACAATAGCATTGTGCAATCTATATAGTCAACCTCACTTAGTGGGATAATGCTTCTTGATGTTGGGCTTGCACCATATGAACCACCCTCTAGGCCTTTTTTTGGTGAAAAACTACCCCTTGTACGTAACCTAACTTACAACTATAATTATGCGTCAAGTTCCAGGCTAAGTAAGTCAGTGACTCCCATAGAGTTCTATCTGCTTCTGGACATGATATTAGAACCTCAAAAGGAGTTCTATAGTTTCCGCATTCATGGTCAGAAGTCCAGCTAATCTGGTAGGAGCTCCACTCTAGCCCTCCTTCCCCACCCCTCCGTTTTCTCTTCTTTACTTCCCTTTTCAGCCTCAGCATCCACTTTCCTCCTAATTCCTACTTTTGACCTATTTCCAATTACCACAAAACTTTCTTGTGAACCCTTCGAGTAGCACCCCAAGCACCAATCTTTGGTCAATCATGAGTTGCGGTGTTCTGTCTATGTTTTAAGGCTACAAAGTTGAGCATGCTCATATTTGATTACAATTGGGTTTTGGCGGAAACAAATTGAGTTTGAACAGCTTTCAGCTTGAGGCGAAGTAATTAGCATAATTAATATGATGGCTGGCTTAAATTTAAGCGTATTAATAATAATTACTGATCTTGGGCTTGTGCTACAAATGCATTTAGAATAATGAACAGACACAGAGTGTCTTGCCAAGTAAACTAGAAACCCCAATGAGTTTTCTTTGTTTCTCTACACCTTCCTATCAGCTTTAATCTCCTCAAGCACTCGCATCATCCAACTAAATCTGACAGAAAGAAAGGCATGCAGAAAGGTACCTTGTAACTGCGACAGTGGACCTTGAGGCCCATTGATTCTGCAAGAGCTCCAACTGACGCAATTATAACTTTGGCAGGTTGACGAGATACAAAACGAGTTTGCCGCTTTACATAGTCCTGTTGGGAAAGCAAAAGAATATCTTCTGTATTAGGGAAACAAAAAACCTTGAAAAACAGAGACACTATGAAAACTAATAATACACTGCTTAACCTGACGCCTATCAAATAGGGCCGATAGATTCAATCCTTGTGATAAGGTTATCATCTCAAATGCATTCATTGTCAAAGGACCTCCCTCAGTAGTTTCCGAATTTTCAGCTACATACTTGTCCTGTCAAAAAATGAATGAACAAAATAGCCAAGCAATCTAAGACCATTGTATATAAAGTCTGCATCTAGTTATATCATTCATGCACTATTTTTCTTGCTTAATATTACAATTGAAAGTTCAATAAGCATTCATCTATGCCTATTTCCTGAATCTACAGTAATACATGTTTTATTCAGCTTGACATGCATAATTACTCATTTAAATAAGACAGAAGACTAATTCAGTAATTCAGACGCATATCTTTCACGTTCTTATTTTCTCAATTTCTTATTTACACACATAATTACTCATTTACTCATTTAAATAAGACAGAAGACTACTGTAAATGTAACATGGAATTAGATAATTCAAATACACAGTTTCAATATCATATCCTGTGGGAATATTTGAGAGAAAAATAAATTTCTCAGTCAAACTGAATATTGTAGTACAACTGGGTATTTATGCATCAAGATGGGAAAAATAATAATGACTAACAAAAGCCAAATAAGTAGAAAATATTTACAACAGTTAGAATATCTCCACATATCCACCTTAGGATAACTGACACATTACATATCTGTAGTCATTTTTTTGGTATTTTGTAGAAGATTGCTTCATCTAGATGCAATACATTCATGATAAAATAATTACATTGTAAAGATGCATTGTTACTTCTTATTTACACAAATCAACAATTCAACATCCAAAGAGAAATCATAAACCTTAATGTCATCAAAAACAGCCTGAACATCATCCAAATTCACTTCCTCATCTCTCCCGAGTTTAACAGGAACATAACTTCTAACGAACCATGGATCTCTTCTTATTTCTTCAATTCGAATGCGCTGCATTTATGCCAAAAACAGCTCAGAGAAAAAACAGATTGAATTGCTAAGCCTGTAACAACTATCAGGAATAAATAAGCAATAAAGAATTGATAATTACAATTGGAAATTAGAGTCACATTTTTTTTTTTTTAAAGACAGAATAAATAGATACAAGCAGAACATAGTAATTATTCCACTCTATGCAAAACTCATTTTTATAAATACGCAACCAGCATGGGCAAAGTACAGTCAAGCATCTGGACCAATGGGCTCAAGAGATGAAATTTTCCTGCTTATTTGACTATTTGCAACGTTAACCCCACCCCACCCAAAAACAAAAGTGGAAAAAAGGAAAAAAGGAGGAAATTATCTTCAATCATTAGGTTTTACCTATGAACAACATAGGCAGCAACAACTGACAGCAATATGAATGCATGGTCACTATTATCTAGATAATTAGGGTCTCACTCACTTTTTTGCAAAAAACTAAAGAAAGTATTGTCATCATTATTAACAGCATACTATGATGCATGCACATTTGAGTGTTTATTATGTATACACCCGTCAATCATAAGGTGAATTGGACTACTTACTGTTTTAGGATTTGGATCCAGTATTTTATGTAATAATGTCTCTGCCCCAGCGGAAAACCAGAATGGGCATTTAAATGCTGCGGCATTGATCTGCACCGTTAAAGGAAAATAAAAAAAAAAAAGTTGATAATGAACTATGAATCTGCGGCAGTAATATTTTTACCATAAATAAACATTAGGCCTACATGGTCTTTAAACAAAAGAACCTCTTGGCCTATAAGCACAAGAAGATGAGATCCATGTCATTAGAAGATAAGCAAGAAATTAAGAACCATGCATCTTAATATCACATTATGTAAATGACAAGTAACAATTGACATGATCAGAATGATTACCATTTCCGAAGCTTGCTTCATCAGTTTGGGCAATTTGTTTTTTTCTGCATGAACTTTGTGTAGACTTAGCTTTTTTTTTCCCCTCTTCTTTTTTACCATTCAAATTTTCTTTCATTTACCCATTAAATTATATGGTAACATTTTATTATTTTTATTTCTTATTTATATATATTGATTTTCATATTATTACTATAATATTATAATAGGATCCAGTTCAGAATGGAAAAATTAATAATAGGCCACATGATAGTTAAACTCAGTTATTCATAGCTTGATGCCTTGAATTGACAACCAATTGCAATATCGAGTAGTCTGCTCACTTCTGCTATCTTCTTCCTAGATCTGTTATCTATTTATCTCTAGATTAGAATTTGGAAAAGTAAAATACCCTTTCGAACAAAGCTGGTAGATTTGGCTCCTCAAAAGGAAGATATCCAGCCATAAGGACAAAGAGGATGACTCCACATGACCAGACATCAGCTGCTGCACCATCATAACCTAGATTGCTAAGAACCTACAGGACAAAATTTTGGTCAGACAATGTGTCACGCAAGATAGGCTTATATGATTATGATTCTGATTGACAAGAGAATCAAACATCCAAAAATACACACACAACCTGTCACAGACAAAAGTGCTACCAAATTCGACCCATTACAGTGCAGCTCATAAATACATAAATGCCATCACAGCATATGCACATGAATTACCATGTGAAACATTATACATCTAAATAATGAAACGGGCCCAATTTCACATAGCAGAAAACCAAGGTGAAGACATATGCTCAACTTCCTCAGAAGCTTTGCCTTCAAATTCAATCCTTTTCCACCAGTTTGTCCAACACCCATCATGACTCTTCTCTTTGGATAAAGGTTCAACAAAGTATATCAGGATTTTTTTCATCATATCTTGATCCATGTCATCACCAGCAATTCAATGAAATAACATGAATTATCACATCATAAGTGTTGTCAGTTATTAAAAACTGAAGTTGACAATGAGACTCGTTAATCAAATCCAGCAACTGGCTCAACCACTATACAAGGAAAATATTAATGCAGCAATTACTAAGGTATTATGATTCATAATCGTGTGATCATTTTACCTCTGGGGCGACATAATTTGGGGTTCCACATGTAGTATGGAGAAGGCCAGGGACCTGAAAGAGAACACAAAAGGGAGAAAGGGCAATATTAGGGAGTGTAGGATGATGAAAGTGAATTTTTCTTGTAAATTAAAGCCCACTAAAATACAAACATTTTATTTTTCTCCTCCTCTATATCAATAGGAATGTTCTTACCTGCTTAGTCAAGGCACTTAGTCCAAAATCAGAAACCTTCAGATTCCCAAAAGCATCAAGAAGTAGATTTTCAGGCTATAACAGGACAGATTACAGACTTAATCAGGATTAAAACATGGTATGCTAAACAAAAACTAAATGAAAATGAAAATTAATACCATACATTTATTTTACCTTTAAGTCTCTATGGTATACACCCTTACTATGACAATGAGCGACAGCATCTATGAGCTGTTGAAAGTAGCGCCTAGATTCATTTTCTGAAAGTTTCCCCTGCTGAACCTAATCAGCCAGAAAAGATATAGAAACATGAAAAATGATATATATATATATATATATATATCTTCATGAATAAACTTAATCTCATCACAATTAGAAAGTCATCACTTCATGCTACAAACTTAAAATGGTCAGACTTGAGTATAATGAGCATTGTTAAAGGTAAAGGCACACTCAAGGTGAAAGGCTTGTAAAACACCTTAGGCACAAGGTTCTAAAAAGGCACATACCTGAGTGAAGCAAGGCACTACCATGTGAAAATACGAAATGTATAGACAACAAATAATAAATAAAATGATTGAATGTAAATTTACCTAACCTTTATACAAAATAGTCAGAAAAATTGTGTCGCATGAAGAACACATAGATAAAAGTAGCAGTCATCTAAATCATAAGCTATTACAAAAAATTGTAAATTGCCCAAATGATCAATACTATTTGTTTTAAATTTAAATCTTTCCTATTATCTAATTTTCCTTTCTTATTTTAAATTTAAATCTTTCCTTTTTCATATCAAGAAAATCAATCGTCTTCTTCAATACCCAAAGTCCATTTGGACAAATTCACACATTGACATGTTGACAGAAGCTTCATCGACTAAATCCTCTGTTAACATCAATCTCCAAAGCTAGAAAATGGCATCTTCTCTACTTTAATATGAAACTGCAACTATGCGCCAAAAGGCGCTCACCTTTTCTTGAGAAAAGTAAAGAGCCTAAATGAAACCATCGCCTCAACAATGAGGCTGTTCTGCACCTTGCCTCAGCACCTAAGGCGCAAAGGCAAGCACCTTTAACAACGCTAATAAAATCAAAGAAGAATCAACCTTAAATAATCTATGGTACAAGAAATGAAAAAAAAAGAAACAAAAAAACTGGTCTTACAATTTTATCATATAGTTCTCCTCCCATGACAAACTCAAGAATTATGTATATCTTAGTCTGGCTAGCTAAAACCTGAAATTCAAAAACAATGTTAGTGAATGAATAAATTTAATTTCATCCAAAAAAAGAATAAAATTAAGAAAAAAAGAAAATTGGGAAAAAATAACTGATGCATATATCACGATGTGCCAACACATACCTCATGCAACCTGACTATATTGGGATGCCTAACAATTTTCATAATGGATATCTCTCTTTTAATCTGTAACAGCATCCAAGTTACAATAGTTAATATGAAAAGTAGACTCAAATTCAACACCAACATGCATCAATGTTCTGTAGTACATGTGTTGTTCTGCACATAAAGCAAGCCTTTGATTGCTGATATCACATGAAATACATTAAAACAACATTATCATAGGGAAAGAACTTTTCTGAGCTGACAGGAGGAAAGCAGGCATAGTTATTGTAGCATAGTCATATGCCAGGAAGGGAGATTAGGATCACAGTGCATACAAAAGCACCTTTAGTTTAGATGTCATTAGAGTTCTCCATATGCAACATGGAATTGTAAACATGCAACCATACCTTTGTTAACTAATAACTTCATGTTTGTAATAGTACTCTAGAATACACTAAAGAATCAAGATTTTGTAAGATAAACTATTGGATTCAGTTAAAAAAGAACCTCCATATTAGGGTGAGAAATGTTTCTGTTTTAGATGAGGCCTCACATTAAACCTAAAGGACATTCTATCCCTTGTCACTTAGCTTAGCCAATCCACCATCAAATGGTTCTGTAACAAATTACTAATTCGTTTCTCCAGTTTTCACCTTGGTGGCAAAAAATAGTGTTATGAACCAAATTCAGCAAGTTTACAAAAGCTTTGACATCATGCATGTGACTTAGCCAACTATTCAACATATAACAATAACAACCTATAAATTTGCATAAACAACAACACAGACCATGATTATGTGAAAGCTGAATATACCTATTCTAAGAAAGTTTCAAGTGTTCTGTTCACACACACATGATTCATAAAGAGGAAAAAGAATATTAGATAAAAAAAATGCACATCAAAGATTTCTTTTTACGAAGAGAACTACAGATTTAAAACTCAACAGTTATACATGATATGCTTGGAAGCTGAAACATGAGATGCTGCCAGAGAAGAGAATTAAAGAAAACGAAAAAGAAAATAACACCTGTTCAACCATTCTGTGCTCAAGAATGGTGCTCTTAGACATCACTTTAATAGCCGCACTCTCCCCTGTCTCTGTGTTTCTTGCAAATTTAACTTTGGCAAAGGTACCTTCGCCGATGGTACGACCCACTTCATACTTGCCAACCTTTCTCCTCACCTTCTTCATGGTTTTCCAGAGCTCATTTATCGAGAAAAACCAGACTTCTTGTCAAACTTCTTATTCAGAGATGGCCTGAAAGCACCAATTGGGCCGTTAAATACCCCACGCGCAAGAACTGAACTTTAGAACCCATAAACTGAAAACGAATTCTGTTTAATTCCTGATAAATGTAGAGAACGAGGAGCAGTCATTTCCACGTATTGAAGATCATATGAACAGAATGATCGTCCGGGAAAAGCAGTCGATCACGAATTATATTAAAAATTCAGTAACCTCTTCCTCGGAATCAAGAAACACGATACCCTAAACACCCATCAAACGAATGGCCGCGCAACCAAAAGAAAGTAGAAAACAAGAGTTACACGCCTTGAGGGAAGAGTTGACCGATACCTTGAGTTGTCAAACTCCGAACTAACAAACGGAAGTTGAGTCGAGATAATATTGAATAGCAAAATGGGAGTATGAAGACAAAAAAAAAGGTGGGGCGGAAGCGAAAGAGAATATTCTAGAAACAATCAAAACCGATAGTAATGGGAGACAGGAAGAAAAAGCAAGCTCCAGTTTTCCGGAGCTCCGGCGAGGGAAATTGAGGAAAATAAGTAGCGTCGTCCCGACGAGACGGTGTGATCGGCGAGAGATAGAGAGACGAAGAAAAGAAGACTTTTGTTTTCTCGTCCGTGGCTGCTTATTTGTAATTGTACGTCACGAGTTAGCCGCTCCAGACGTAGTCATGAATAATGAATAGACTTACAGCCTCAATTGACGAAGAAAGAACACGTGCGGATTACAGGTTTCATTGTGTTTTAAAACACTATTTTTTTTTTTTTTTCCCCTATACAAAGGCAAGCAACAGTTTGGGGTAAAACACAAAAGAAAGAAAACTCTGAGGTAAAACGCAAAAGGAGAAAAGACCAGAAACTAAAGCCGAAAACAGCTAAACATTAGGCGTAGATTGCCTATATGATCCCAACATATTTGTTCACAACCTATTGGCACGTGCCTCGCCAACTCCAAACTGAAGTCAGTGGAGTGAGCGTCACCTGCTAGAAAGTCGGCACATTTAACGGCGGATCCTATAACCCATTGTCCGTCTGCGTTTCAGATTACTCCACCACAGGCGGGATCATCTTTTTTTTCTTTTTTCTTTTTTTTATATAAAGGTAATTACAAACATAAAAGATCACAAAGTAAAAGGCAAAAAGAGAGAAAAAGGTAAAGAATATGTCCTAGTCCAGAAAGGAAAGCAACAAAGCTTTAGTCTGGAAAAAATATCTTGGCGCCTGTTCGGTTTGCGTCTAGAATCGACTTTTTTTGGTGTTTAATCGATCTTTAAAACAAATTAGCCAAACAGCATAATAATGACATGATTAAATATGTTAAAATTGATTTTTTTTTGGGTTAATCTATTCATACCTGCTTGTGGTTCTCATTTTACCATGATAATAATAAATAATTTATCAATAATTTATAATTGTGTTAAATAAAGTTTAATAAATTTATTAATATTATCAATAATTTAATTTTGAAAAGAAATATTTTTTATGATAGCTTGCACAATTGAAATCAATTTTAATATATAAATATATTATATTATAATATAATTAATTATAATTAAAATTAATTATATTAATTAATTTATAATCAACTATATTCAATTGAAATTCAAACCGGAGTTAAATGACTTAAATTCCATCAACTTTTTGCTATTATACTGTTCACCAAATTAATCTCCCTTGACATGAGGTCTTTTGAAGTGAGTCCCATTACTTACTTGTCACTTTTTCATTGGACTGTATGGGTGCGTAAGTCATTGTAAATTTCCTATGGGCTTTGGTTTTCATCAAGGTGTGTTCTGTATTGGGCTACTTTTTACTTCTTCGGCCCATTGTTTCTGCATGTCTTGTTAGGTTCTTCTAGTCTTTCTTGCGGACGTTAGCTGGTGCCGGAGTAGATTTTTAATTTCGGAAATGAATTCTTAATTTGCACCTTCATCTTTGGAACCCTCTAGAATTGCATTTGGTGTCTTCAATTGTTTTCACTCTTTGTCGTCAATTTACAGGATTCCATTTTTTTGTGCTGAAGTTAGTCGACTTCTGTGGATAGCTCTAGTTTTTGTTATCTTTCGGTTTGCTCGGTTGGCTAGGTGAAGTAGCCACACCAGTGTTTTCATCCCATTTTGTTTGTTAATATCTCGCTTTCAAGTGGCGTCCTTTTTGTGATTCAGTTATATCGAGATGTCCTGATCAGTGATGTCGTGAATGTAGGATTATTTGGTGAATATATATGGATGGTGGATTTAATTCATCCGACAATTATTCTTGTAATGAGAATGATTTTTTAAGGTGGGTGCAGTATTTAATATATTGGGTATATTTGATGAGGCTATTACAATTTTGTTACTGTAATATAATGGAATGTTGAGGCTGTTTGTTGATTGTTGATGATCAGTGGGGGCACGGGAATGGCAGTTGCTGGGCCTGTAACCACTATTACAAAAATATAAATACAAGACGTCACAAAAAATAATAATTAAATAAAAATACATCATATATAAAAGAGGTGGATGATGGTCAGAAAATAAATGTCAGACTTTAAATGACAGTTTTTTAAAAACCTCATCATTTATTTCGGCCCAATGTTTCATTTTTTAAATGAAAAAAAAATAAACTTTAAATGACGAGTGTTTCAAGCACCCATTATTTAAAGTGCTCGAGATATATGACGGGTGTTTAAAACATCCATCATATATATATATATATATATGAATAAATGACAGATATTAAAATACTCATCATTTATTCCCTTTTTTATTTAGTTTTCAGTCTCATTTTTCATTCTCACCCATTCATCTTTTCGTGTATTCTCTCTTCTCCACTTGCACACGAAATCGGTAGAAATCTCTCAATCTTCTTCCATTGTTGCCATCAACCACCTTAGTCCTCTTTGACATGAAAGTGCTACCACCTATGCCGTCCATTGCCCTTCTCATTTGCTTCCTTTTTGTGTTTCATCATCTCTTCTCCAAGGTATGTGGGTGTGATTTCTATGATATTTCTTCATTTTCTTCTAATATCTTTAGATTTCTAGATTATGAGATTGATTTATTTAATGTTATGAATTGTTTTATTAGTTAATTTTTGTTGTTTAAATTTCTCCTCATTTGTTACCCATTTTGATATTGTGGGATGTCGAAAATTGTTGATGTTTGATGTTTTATTAACTTAAGAATAGTAGTAGATGATATACTTAGCCTTAGGATGATTATGAAGATGAAAATTAGTGATCAAAATGGGATATTTATGATGATTGTATTTTTCTATGAATTTTGACTAATTTATTTCAATAATTTTTAATTTAAATTCTGTGCCTTATTTGATCAGAGTAGTTTTATCGTTCAAAACTATATATTGAAATGTACGAGCGTACCAATTTTTATTACAATTGGAGTTCATTTTAGTGACCGAAACTGACATGCGGTTTTTCTAAAAATTATTGCTATTTTATTGATATTTTTATATTTGGTAAAGAATGATTTGTTTTTAGCTTAGGATTGCTAATATAGGATATGTGTAACTTTACAATGATCAATGAGATAGAAAACATTGATTCAAAATGATGTTTATAGTGTTTTTCTTTTTTCTATGATTTTTGAACGAATTTTAGATATATTTTTATAATGATTAGAGCTAATTTGAAAATGCTATTGTGTGAAAATTTTGTTGGTGTTGTGATTGTATATGGTTAAAATTAGTTTGTTGAGTGAGATGCCATGACTGAAAAGAGGGTTTTAGCTCGAGAAATACTTTCTTTATGTTGTTATACTGTTGGATTTTTTTTTTGCGATTGAAGGAATATGTGAATGCTCATGCATTGTGACTCATGATTTATTAATTACTCTATATTATATATAGAGTAGTCAACTTTTTTATTAATAATCTTTTTATCATTCCTTTCCTCTCCATATTCATGAGTCACTGATCACATTTCCTTAAATGAATTGTCTTTTAGATTAAAAAGTTATGGATAAAGAATGGATGTATGCCAACTGATTAAGAAAAGAATATTTGAATGGTGTGAAAGAGTTTATGAGGTTTGCTCTTAAGCATATAAAAGACCTTAGAAGTAAAGCCAGGAAAACGGGCCGAGCCCGTCGGGTTAGCCCGTTTAAGCCCTTATAACAATAAGGCCGAGCTTGTCAATATAACTCCAAAATGATAAATCGGGCTTACACGGGTGAGCCCGTTTAAGCCTGTGTAATTTAAGGCTTAAACGGGCTAGCCCTGTAAGGCCGATGGCCAGCCCGTTCAAACCCGCATGTGCATTTTTTTTAATTAATCCTCATAACTTTCACTCTTTTTATATTTAAAAATAAATTAAATTAAATTTTACTTCACATCGCATGTCAGCCCATATCTATTAAGGATGGAAGGCCAAAAAAAGGAAAATAGCAATGAAGAATTATTGATCAAAAATTATATCAGTCAAGGATTATTTGTTGTTAAAATTTGAGTGGATACTTGTAGATTCGGGTTAGCGTTTATCAATAAGTATTCATTTAGGTTTTAATAACAACTTATTTTAAATTAATAACAGTTCATTGTAGCTTGTTTTTCATGTAGGTTTTGACAATAACTGATTCTTAATTGATATAAATTTCATATAGAAATCCTTGATTGCTATTTTCTAAATAAAAAATACAACCTTAAGTCCCCTAATTCATCTAGATTCATGATAATGATTCATTCAATTCAACATTTACTCTTCTTTCTTCAATATGCTTCTCTTTTTTTTGCCAATACAAGTTGTCCTTGCTCTTCAGCATGTCATCGCATCGCCGTCCCCGTCCCTGTCATTGTAACTCACAAGTCATCCTTGCTCCTATTTTTGCTCACTCTTTATTCGTCTATGTTGCTCACTCCGATAATTCTCCCTCTCAAGAACCAAATCTCAACAATGCTTAACTAGTTGACGCTCGTTATCATTGATCTCCCAAGTCCTCCTATCACTTATCATGCTTGTGCATTCGTGACTCATGAGCTAAGATCTATTTGATGCACATATTGTGTCCATGCTCTTTGTTTTCCTTGATCTCCTAGTCCTATATCTCAGTCCTTCAAGGCTCAATCTCATCCAAGTTTGATTAGGTGTTTGTTGGCTTAGTCGATCCATTGCTTATTGCCTTACTATCATTTCATTTGTATTTTTAGTTCATTTAAATGTTATTTAGTTAGTTTTTTTATACCTTTCTGGATTAAGTATTATATTGGAATGAAGTAATTTTTTGTTTGATTAACAAATTTGAAAAAAAAATAAAAATAGTTAAAAGGGCTTGAAGCCCACAGGGCTGGCCCTGAGCTCGTTATGTCGAGGGTCGGGCTTTATATATCAGGGTCTTAAAAGGAACTCAAGCTTAAAAGGGCTGGCCCTTTTAGGTCCGAGCCCTTCAAGGGCCTACCTTACAGGGCCGAGCTAGCCCGTTTTCTTAGCTCTACTTAGAAGAATAGTATACCTTTATGTAAGATGTGGTCTTTTGAAGCAAATTGGTGCATCTAAGTTGGAAGACCATTTAGTGTGCTATGGAATTGATGAAAATTACAAGTGTTGGCATAAACATGGAGAGACTAGAGAGGATGAGTATACTAGTAATTTGGAGTATAAAGGAAGCTTTGAATTAGATGATTATAACACAGATACTTATAAGGGTGATTGTCTTGAAG